TGCTGAAATTCTGCCAGTGGAATACAGGTGAGACAAAAAGGTAGAGGTTGTTTTGGAATGTTCATGGGTGGGGCTTGATGCTGCCTTTGGGAAGGTTCATGACTCTGTACCCCAGTTCCTGCTTTGCCTCCATGGTGCTTATTCAGACCCCCATGTAGCTGTTAATTATTATTTTCCTATACTACAATTAATTTCTTTCTTAAAAGCATATCAGATTGCTGTATGTAAAACTGGGTTTGGAGTTACAGTTTAAAACTTTGCTCTTATCTCTGACAGTTTGCAAACGTCACAATATATTAAATTAACTTTTAATAAAAAATTGCATTGTTACTCCAATTATATCATCAAGCAGAACTTGATTTACACACTTTAGGGTTGGGAGAGCGAACAGGAATATTACTTCTTCCTCTTCACCTTCTGAATTAACAGTGACTTTTTTGTTTGGATTTTTTTTTTCATTGTTTTTTTGTTTGTTTTGTTTTGTTTTTGATTCAGAGAAATGTTTATTCGGCTGCAGCATGAAAATAAGATGCTCCTGTTGAAACAGGAAGGGTCAGAAAATGAGCGTATTGCAGAGCTCCAGGAACAGCTGGAGCAGAAGCACCGGACAGTGAACGAACTGGAAACTGAGAAAAGGTGAAACTACATCTTTAAACACAGTAACAGTAAAAAGGGATTTCTGGTATTTCAGAGTGGTCTTGTGGCCTGTATCTGTAGTGTAGCACCATGTAGGAAGCCAGGTACCTTTTCTTTCACCACTGCCATTAATGAGGTGTTGCTTTTAGGACACTTTTCTTAGTTCTGAATGATTCTTGGAAGTAGACCAAGAATGGATATAAACTCTGTTTCTAGAACTTCAAACTGTTAGACCATGGGATAAGGTCTAAATTTCTCTACAGTTAATGCTGAAAGCAGTTTATTAGAATATGAGAATTCTTGGTAATTAAGGTCTCTCAAAACTTAAAATTATTCTAGGTATTTCACTATAAAATGTTCATTAAAGCTCCATGTGGTCGTTTCAGGAGAAGTTCAAGTCAAACTAAAAATCAGTTTCTTTGTGGCTTAAGTCCTGCTGGGTAGCCCTCTGAAAAACTATTATCCAGACATGAAACAGAAAAATTTGTCTATGATTTATTTAGATAACCAGTAACGGTCTTTTCTTCCTGAAAGGCTGAATGAAGAGCGTATTGGGGGATTACAGCAGCAGATTGAAGATCTGCAAAAGACTTTGCAGGAGCAGGGATCCAAGACTGAAGGAGTAAGTAGAAGTTCAGGCTTTTTGGCCTTGAACACAACATACCTGTTTTGTTTTGTTTTCTTTCTTTGTTTGTTTTGTTGTTGTGTTGTGTGTTTTTTTGGTGTTTTGTTTTTTGGTTGTTGTTTTTTGTTGTTTGTTTTTGTTTTGGTTTGGTTTTTTTTAAGTCCTTCAGTGTAACATCAAGTCCTTTGTTTAGATGTGCAGCTTATTTTTCAGTGTGTCTGAAAAACAGCCCACACCAACTGTATTTAAATTGAAAATCTCATATTTTGTGTGATTCCTTTCCTTCACCTTCATTAAGGAACTGTAACTCTTCTACATTTAGTTTTATCAGTCAATAGTGGTATAATGAGAGGGAGAGCTTTAAAGAAAAGGATGCTGGAATTGATTTCTGTGCAATGCAAAAAAATATGAAAGCAGTTACAGAAATGCAGTTTCCTTAGTATTTATTTGCTTTGACTTAGCTGTGCTAAATATCCTTGGCTGATTTGTTAAGGCACTTTAATGTTGCATGGAATGAAATACTGAAATATAACTGAATTTTAACTCTCTCCTTTGATAGTCCAGCAACCTGAAGCAGAAGTTGGCAGCACACATGTAAGTAAGGCACATGCATCAACAACAGCTTATTTATGCTAAATGTAGCACAGAAACTGCTTAAATCTTTGTAGGGCTGTCTTGTTTTTCTAAGCCACTGGTTTGAGAATTCTGCATAAAGTGAGCAAAGTGTTGGGGTTCTGGTTTTGTCTACTCTGATCATGATGATCTGGTAATACCAGTACCACTTAACTGTCATAACCACCACCAGCATTTTAAAGTGTTCTGATTCTACAACAGACTGCTAAAACCATCACTGTTACTGGGCTCAAAATATATTCCATTCTTCTGGAATGCTTCCTTCCTGCTAAGTAACCCCTGCTGAAGGGGTTTAATTGTTCATTTTTTCCTAGTTTTAGGTAAATGAGACTCAATTCAGGAGTCACAACTTCAGTGGTTCTACAAAAACACATAGTAATGTTTCTACTTAAATTCAGAAGAATTACCAGAGCTTAAAATAGTTATTTAAGCACTTCTGCCATCAAGTTTCAGCTTTCAGCTCTTAAAACTGCATAGAATTATTTGTGAGCTTAATCCTTAGTCCAGCCTTTCATTCATAGGGAAAAGTTGAATGAAGTTCATGATGAGTTGCAGAAGAAAGAGGCTGATCTTGCAGAGCTCCAGCCTGATGACAGTCAGAACCGTAAGTTCTTCTGTGGGGGGTTTTTGCCTTTTTTTTTTTTTTTTTTTTTTTTTTTTTTTTTTTTTTTTTTTTTTTTTTTTAATAAGACTAAGTTAAGTGTCTCTGAAAGCAGTCCTATAGCCACTGGACTATGGGATACTTGTCTGGATAGGGGTTTCTGCTACAGCTTAGCTTTAAATGTGAAATGGTATGTATGGAGGGAATTTTTTTGTGCCTGCTAGTTGGCAGGGAGAGGATCCTGGGGGCTTGGTTTTGTTGCACAGCACTCTGCCAAATGGGAATTCAGGGTCAGGTGGACCAACTGAGACAAAAATCATAACTTAGAGAACTCTGTAGTAGCCAGAAGGTTTTTTTGGAGAGTGGTGAAATCAAGAGAACTCAGAAGCCTTGAAAGTACCACATCTGTTTTTATTTTGTATGTCTTTGTTGGTAATTTCTGTAAATAGCCCAGAAGATTGGAGAACTGGAAGCAGCTTTACGAAAAAAAGACGAGGATATGAAAGCAATGGAAGAAAGATATAAAATGTACCTTGAGAAAGCAAGAAATGTAAGTGGCATATTTCTGAACATAGACATTCCTCCTTCATAAACTGTTAAACAGATGGATTTGAATGTGTGTCCCCACCTCCCAATTAAAAATGGCCTTTTTAATCAAATTGCTCAACTGCAGTCCGTTAAGTGTATGAGAGAATGGGAATTAGGCTAAACATGGGGTACATGAATGATTCCTTTGTACCCTTTGGGCTCTGTTAACGGTGTAACAGCCTAATTTTCATCATGATTCCCTGCCCAGTGCCCAGTCTGTTTCCATATTCCTCCTCTGAGCAGATGAGGTGCAGAGTTGTTGAGAATCAAACCTGAGTTGTTATGCTTTTGTTTTGCTTTTACTCAGGTGATAAAAACCTTAGACCCCAAGCTAAATCCAGCATCAGCAGAAATTATGTTGCTCAGAAAACAGATACTGGAGAAAGACAAAAAAATTGAAGCACTGGAGGTAAAAATTTTACATATATTTAATAATAACTTGTAGTGTGTTCTGTCCTGATGTTAGACAGTCAAGATACTGTTTCCTAATGATTTAATAATGATTTGGGATTTCAGCTTGGCTGAAATTCTGAAAGGATTGTTGACAGTAGTCCAAATATCAGAAAAATTGGAGAAATGCATTCAGTTTTACAGCAGTATTGATGGGACTAGTTAAATAGTTATCTAGGCAAATACAGAATTTCTCAACACAAATGAGTAGGCTGATAGGTCTGACTATATAAATGCTCTGGCCTCAGATTGCTTTTATGCAAGATGTACTAAGTATATTATATAATAGCAATTCAGGAACATGATAAGAACAGTCAGACAGTGGAAGTACATTCTTGTCTCTTCAGCTGGAAAGATTACTAAATTATTTATATACTTTCTGATACACCCCACACAAACCCTCAGGGTATATTTCTAAGTAGTTTCTGTGTTTCTAGCTGCAACTTGTGTGAAGTTCAGCCTCTTTGAAGTAGTCTAATTTATCTCTCAGTCTTTAATGGAAGTATCTTTATTTATACTTCTAAGCTTTCTAGTTATTTTGCATATTGAAGTGTTACCGCTACCTCTGTTCCACTCAGTGGGCTGCAGTAAGTTTATGCAGAAAAAAATTGTTTTAATTGGGCTTGTCTTCCCTCTTGTCTCCTTGAAGAACGAATACAAACTGGCTAAGCTACGTGATTACGAGGAAAAGCTGATTGTAACTGCGTGGTATAACAAGGTGGGTCAAAAGTTCATTTGTTGGTGTATCAGAAAAATGTATTTTGCTAAATGTGACAGTTAGGTTTTAGTTACTCTAAGAAATCCAGTAAGAGAGTTCCTGTGTGCATACTAAATAAGGATGAGCTTCACGTATGAAAGATGCCAGGGTTTTTTCCTTCTGTTTTTGCTATTATTTAAGTTGTTGTTTAACTGTTTTTGCAGAGCCTGACTCTGCAGAAGCTGGGTATGGAAGCAAGGCTGGTTGGCAGCAGTGGTGCCTGCAAAGACGGGCCTGGACGCTCCTTCCTGGCTCAGCAACGTCACGTCACCACCACCAGGAGGAATCTCACTGTTAAAGTACCAGGGGCAACATCTGATTAAACCACAAGGACCTTGAGGAAAACTTACCTGCTGAAGTGTCCTTAAATGTTTTATAACTTCCACTTTACTTGATGAAAGAGGAGGTTAGAACTGGGCAGCTGCAGATTCAACATCAGAACTATCAAGAAGTGATTAATTTGATCAGTGGTGTGCGTAGAAGGTAGCATGTAGTTTTCCAAGTAGATATGATAAGTGCAGTACCTATTTACAAGCACAACTTGAAAGATTTATATTTGCCTTCAGATTATATTGTATATATGAAATTTGGCACTATATATTTAAAACTTTATTTAATGGGTTTGGGCTAGAAAGTTGACTTTTATAATGGGAAGATGTTATGCAAAAATTTACTTCAGGAAACTGGCAATATTAGGCATTTTTGCTGGGCTCTTCTAAAAATAGATTTAAAAGATTGGTACCATGTTTAAAAAAATACAGTTTTTTTAGAATAGAAAGTACAGTTTTAAATGCAAGAAGATACTTGCATTTATAGAAAAAGAAAATAAAGGTATAGTACCAGTACAGAAGACAGGTTTTGTTTTGTGAGAAGCAGAATTACTCAGTTTAGTAAAAAAAAAAAAAAAAAAAAAAAGCTGAAGTTTGTGCATATACACACTAAAGAAAACCTGTCTTTAAGATGCTGAATTCACTTAAGCCAAAAAAGCTTATCTTTTTTTGTGTAAGAGAAAAGCTATAATAATAATAATTCAAAAGTCTGGGCTGTATTTTAAAGTCTGGCATATTCATACGCTGCATTTATTTGCAGAAAGGGGATTAGGTGGGAAGGAGCCCCATTTATTTCAACCTATTTATACAACCCCGTGCATGGAAATTAATCTTCCTTTTTAAAATATAGTTTCCTTTCAGTTATTCTCAACTGACTTTACTAGGCAGAGGAATGAAAGATGGCTTTGACAGTTGTTGGCAGGGAGAGAAGTGCATAAACTATACTAGTGTGATAGAAGATGAAAAGGGGATTGATATCTGAAATTGGTGTGCAGGAAGTTGCTGTAGTTGCTGTCTTTCTCAAGATTTGTCACTTTATTTTCCAAATGTCTTATTTCTGTTATGAAATGTATTTTTAGGAAATCTGCCAATGTCTGTTCTTCTTTGCAGATTGTCTAGAACAAATTCATTATGCCCATAGTTAAATGAAGTAAAATTGCAGCAGCCCATAAAATAAAATGAATACACTTAAACTAAGTATTTGAGGGTTGTGTACTAGAGCATCACCTAATATCAAACTCAACCACATTTGTGAATGAAAACATACCTGTCTCACCATCTTTGATTTGAGAGCAGGATTCAGCTTTGCAGAATTTAAGTCTTGAATTATGAAATCTGGGTAGTCTTTCATTTTCCATTCCTCTCACTACAGCTCGTCCTTTGATTTCTTCCTTCCCCAACATCTTAAATTCTTTATTGGGCCTTGCATGCAATGCCAGGGAAAAGGCAAGTATTCATTTCTAATACTGAGGGTTGTTTCTTAGTTGTGGTGGTTGTTTTACAGTGCTGTACATTTAGGCATTCAACAGATTTCCTCCTTCAAAAGGCATTGTTTAAAAGCCAGTCTCATGCTACATATGTTGTGAGAGCAGAGAACATGCCAGACAAGTGGCTGTTGGAGAGTTTTGTCTGTCTGGTGCTGTTCTTTGGGACTCTATGCTTGGACTACCTCTTGGGTTTTGAGGTCTTTTATTGCTGCAGTGATATTAGTGGAGTTTGTGTTTTTAAGATACAGTTGCTTGTTTGCTCTGCTGGTGGTGAGCAGTGGAGCAGGAGATTCAGTCTTAGCAAGATGCTTACATACCTAAAGCCTGGTCTGTGATGTGATGTAGTGAAATGTGAAACTGTCACTGATGGTGTTGAGTGGGTCTCTTAACCCTCGTTCTTTGCAGCATGGAAACTTCCATGGACGTCTGTCAAATACTCATCTAGTTTTGTAGGCTTGATGCATTTGTTGTACTTCTCACAGTAGTAGAGCTGTGTCAGTGACTGTCAGGTGCTGAATAGTGACAAACTTGGAGCAAATGTCTTTGACTTGCACTTCTCAAAACTGCAGACCCTGGGACCAAAAGTAGGCAAGAACCTCCCTATCATTTAATTGGAAGTTTGTCTTCTGACTAGTGATGGAAGAATTTCAGTCCCAAACTACAGGCAGGGATAAGCCTTTTTCAGGGCACATTTGTCCCCATAGTCTTGTTGGGGTTGCCAGAAATTAATCAGGTTTTCAGATATTGGATGAAATGTTGTTTATTTGAGACTTTTCCAAACTGTTAGAAGTTAAACCTGTGAATACAACTTAAGGGTTTCTTTGGGATTGAGAACCTGTTTAAAAGCAGCTGTTCTACAACTGGTAAAACTTGGGTTACGTCCTACAAATGAGGAACTGATCTTTGGAAATAAATATTGGATTATAAGCCATGGTGGTGTGTTCACTTCAGCCCATCTGGCTGTGCAGGAAGGACCATTAGATACGTATAATTTTATTGTTTGCTTCTTTCATGTCAAACAAAAAAGGTACTAATGCCATTGCTGTGTTACAGCCGAGTTGTCTCCCACATGTAATAGCAGAGCTCTGTCAATACATGTCCTTTTATGCACCACTGCTGAGGAAGGGCAAAGAAAGTGGCCACTTGTCTCTGCTGCAAGATGAATTCATACCCTCCCATCAGCACAGTTAGGAACGCATCCAAATATGAGGTGAAATCACTGAATACTGCTGAAGTTAAACAGCATTATTAGTAATTTAGCCAGTTTCCAGTAAAACGGGTAGTATAGATCCAAAGAAACAACAAAAATGTTCTGACTGATATATCATTTGTTAATTATTTTTTATATAAGATTACTATGGAAGAGAAGTGTTTTATAGCAATAATACAAATTCTGGAGTAGTGAGTTCTTTTACTCATGATGGGTCAGGCAGCAGTTTTGAGAAGATTCTTTTGCAACAACTTTATTATAGTGGATTAAGAAACATTCACTGAAAAAAAATTTTCACCTGATTTTTTTTGGTTCATTAAAAATATATATATATGGGTATTTTATTTTATTTTATATGATATACACTTGGAAATAATTAATATAAGCAATACTGATGTTCTATTTAGGTAACCATATAGATTAGAAATTAGAAAAGAAAAACAATTGTTTAAGAGTTGGTAATGTCTAGTACAGTAGTTTTCTTATGTGTTTCTTTTTTCCCTTCCCCTAATGGTAGAGTTAAGATTTCAGTGTATTGGTGTCTACATCTTCTGTTTAAAACAAATGTAAACACTGTGTTGCATAGAGCTTGAAAATTGCACTAATTTTTAAACTTTTGGTTTTATTTTTTTTTCTTTGGAAAGAGTTCTTTTATATTCACATAAAGACTTTTAAAATGAATTCTCTGGTGTCTTTATTCCAAGAAGTGCATTTAATGGTCCCTCTTTGATGTAAGCGTCCATATTTCTGGGCAACACATGACCTGGGTCAGCATGTTGATACTTTTATACCGTCTAAAATGTCATGTGCCAGGATGTGTAATGTGTGTATAATGAGGATATGGATGTAATGAGTTGTGCTGCCTTTCCCTCCTCTTCTCAGTTCTTTTCTGCTTATATTTCTGCTCCCACCCAAAGCTGGTTCCCTCTGCTGAGCCTGCAGTCAGTCATCTCAGAGCTGGGCAAGGGCCCTTGGGAAGTGAAAAACCTAAACCCTACTACAGATAAACTGTCAGGTGACTTCAGGAATTGCTTACTGCTACCGAAGGAGGGGAGGGTCTCTTCCTGTTGCCAACCCCACTGAGAGGACACAGAGCAGGTACCTCTCTAAATCACTGTTACTTGGAACAGAAAGCTGACTGCCCTCTGCAGCCTGCTTTGCAGATGATTTGTGTGCTCCATTGTCAGTCTCACTGTCAGCTTTCTTGTTCCCTGAGCTTCAACCCCAACCTAGAAGTGATGGTGGTAAAGAGCAGGCAACCTTCAGCCCTCCAGAGGGAAGACCTGAGGATGAGGACCTGTGATGCCTCAGTGTGGAGGAAGGGCCTTTGCACTGGCAGAAATCCTGGTGAGCACAAAATGAACAACCAGATACAGAAGAACTGTTTTTCCTGCTTTCTGAGACTGGATGTAAAAGCAATTTCAGATACTGAAGAACAAAATGTGCAGGTGTGTGTCTGAGGGAGAAAGGAAGGGAGGAGGTACTCAGCTGTGCAGGAAGCCTGAGCTGAGCTGCAGGATGTGCTCAGCCCTGACTCTGTTTACTTACGGCTTTTCTGGCAGCTCCTGAAGAGCCAAGCACTGCAATGAGAGGTTTGTATGTTTGTGAGAGGGGTGTCTCTGGAGAAGAGGTGCAGGGATAAACCCCCGAGTGCAAAGACACTCAAGGAGTTGAGGTAACTCTGTGTGGGAGATGATTTTGGTGGAGGGGGCAAAATATTCAAGAAGCCTGTGAGGTGTGTTTTTCTCTCAGAGTACAACAGAGGCGTAGGGGAGAAGGGAGGAAGCTTTTGGATATAGCAGCAGCTTGGGAAAGGAAATGGGTATCTGAGCCAAGCACTGAGGGAAGAAAAGTACCACAAAACAGCCAAATGACACCTCTGAACTTGGAGTGCTTTGAAGTAATGCTGCACACAGCAGAAACTTGTCACTGCTCCCCTTCCCTGTTCCCAGTCAATTCCAGGCACGCAGCCCACTTCCAGCCTTCCCCTTCTGCTTTGCCCAAGAAAGGAAAAGAAAGGATGTAAGGTGTAGAAAATCCAATAGACTTTGTTTCTGCTGTCAAGGGAAGGTGTGGGAGCCCTGTGCCAGCAGCAGGTGGGAGGGCAGCTGGCATGGGGAGAGGAGGTGTTGAGAGCTGGGGTTGGGAATGACCAGGTTCTCACTAGAAGTGGATGTGACAAGCCTCCTGCACTTTATAAATGGATTGGTTTGGGTCCCACCATGTGTTATCGTGTCTCCCCCTTAGGGATCTGCAAAACAGCTTTGAGTGCCAGAAACAGCATCTTGCTCCAACCTCTCGCTTCTACCTGGCACAGAAAATCAGAGAAGGTGGCAGAACCTCCCCACCAAGCCCTGTGCTTGATGGAGCCTTGTCGAAAGCTGTGTTCACTTGGGAGAAATTTGCTTCCTCTAGGAACACGTGAACAGTACTCCAGGGAAAAGTGAAAATTAACAGGAAAAGATTGTTCTCTCCCCATTTCCTCAGCAGGTGAGCAGGAACTGGAGGTGTGTGCTACTAGTGCTGTGCTGCTTTCCTGCCAGGCAGCCCCGGTCCCACTCCCAGGAACTGCAGCTTCTCGTGCCTAGAGGCCTCACCAGGGTCCTGTGGTGCAGCCATGACCCAGTCAATGCTTTCATTGGTGTTAACCATCCCTTGTGAATCATGAGACTGTTTCACCTTGCATGTGATTGTTTAAACTGGTAATTTATTGTTGGTGTTTTCCAAGGGACCCTCTTTCTCATTAGAATCTTGAGTGCATCACGTATTGCTGGAGCTCACCCCTCTGCCCCTGGACACACTAGCCACTCAGTGATGCTGAGCAGGTAAAAAATAAAAGGGAGGATTTTTGAATATCCTAATTCTAGTTTACTTGTGCTGTCAGGGCCATTTTTTTCCTTCAGTTCATTAGAATTTGCTTTGCTGCTACAGTGCTAGCCTCCTGCAATGCTGCACCCATGTGGGGCAGCCCAAAGGCTACAGCCAGTGCTGGACATGGCCTGTGTTGGTCTTTACTTTGCAGAATGCTTCATGCCAAAAATGTTTTGGTAAACGTTTATTGATGCATAAGACAGGTGTTAGAGACTTTTTTTTTTTTGGTGAGTACATTTCCTTAAAATGTTGATGAATTACTGCTTGTATTAGTGTTATAAAACAAGGGCTGGTATTGCTCTTCAATTGTACACAGACTAAGCCTCTACACTGCAATCTCTCAAGTGTCCCTCATTTTGTCAAGGTGAACTATGGCCATCCATCATAAAATTAGGAAGGTCCCACACCCCTCATCCATTTAAAGTGCTGTAGGGCCTAAAAGTGCCCTGGCACCTCCCAGGCTCACGACCTTTCTCATGGCAAATAGAGCACTAGGTCCACATGTAAAAGAAGTTGTTTAGCAATTGCTTTAAAAGAAACAAACTGCCTGCATCTCCGTCGAGCCCAGGGGAGCTGCCAAAAGCTTGTTTTCAGTGTTCCTGACAAAGGGTTTTCCCTGTGAGGATGGTAGCCAAGGCTTCCCTACCGAGGCACAGCGCAGATCTTGTAGGGCTGTGGGGCCATCGCGATGCCCATCATGGGCTGGAGGCTGAGCGTGGTGTCCGGGGGTGCCTGGAAGGTGAATTTCTGGAGCAGAGACGTGAAGAAGAGGAAGAGCTCGGAGCGGGCGAGCACCTCGCCCAGGCAGGCACGCTTCCCTGTGGAGACAACAACCCACGGCATCCTCAGACTGAGCTTTTACTGACGGAAGTGATTCTGCCTTCCCTTAGGACCATGGTCCCTGATCCCTTCCCAGGATGAGTTTTGCAGCCCAAACTGAGAAGGTGTGTGATGCTGGCATGAGAAACAGGGGTGCTAAAAGCCACCTCCCCAGGGAAGCTGCTGGCTGGGGTAGCCTGGGGTGGCAACAGTGAGGCCCCAGTGAACTCAGGCATGTGGGAGCAGCAGCACAGAGCGATGCTCCTGCCCTGGTGCAGGTGTTCCTGGGGTGTCTGGAATTATGTGGGATTTTTATTCATCCTTATCTCCCTTCTTTGCATTTAAAAAGAGAGACAAGAGCAGGCTCTGAGAGTGGTTGTGCTGCTTTGGGATGACCAAATGGCCACTGTTAGAGCGGCACCTCCTGGGTGCATCTGCCATTTCCATCACTGTTTTCCTCTCTATCTCCATCATGCAGTTGGAAACCCAAGGGCAGTGCCTCGGCACAATTTTGCAAAACTTACCCACAGAAAATGCCAGAAATGATTCCCTTTTCCAGAACTTCCCGTCCTTCAGGAAATGCTGCGGGTTAAAAGTGTCAGGGGTTTCCCACTCATTCTTGTCAAACATCACAGAGGATATATTTATTGTTAAAACAGTGCCCTAAGAGGAGAAAAATAGATCACACTTTCAGTGGCACTGACAGCAGGAGGGGCAGCTTTATCTTCCAGTCTCTCCATGAAGAACAGGCAGAGTCAAATTCTACTGCAATTATTTATTTTATTTAATATTGGTTGGTTGGATGGCAACAATCCACATTCAGCAGGAGTGAACTCTGGACAGGGCAGGGACAGTGTGTCTGTGCAGGAGGGACCTGGCCTGGTGAGTCGTGCCTGGGGAGCTGGGAGTCTCCCTGAGGTCCCAGTGCTCAGGAATGAGCTTACCTTTGGGATGAAGAAGCCATCCAGAGTTGTGTCCTTTGCTGCCATTCTTGGCATGCTCAAAGGGACAATGTTGGCTTTCCTCTGCACCTCATGGATGACGGCGTTGGTGTAGGGCATGTTGTTCCTGTCCTCCAGCACTGGCTGCCGTGCCTGTCCAATGACGGCATCGATCTCGGCTTGCACATGGGCTGGTGGGAAAGAGCAGGAATCAGCCAAGGCCCAAGGATAAAACCCCTTGGAATAACACAAGGTTGTTGCTGGGAGGGTCCCCTAAGGGGACACCTGGCCCTGTTTGCACCTGTTTTGTGTGAGTGCAGGGAGATTCCCAACTTTTCCCTCAAGAAAAGTGTCTCTCACAAAGCTGTGAGGGATAAAAGGAAGGGAAAGCACTGACCTTTTGCTACTTGTACCTTGAATTTCAGGATGTAAGGCCATGAACAGCAGAGCCCAGCGGAGGGTTGAAGAGGTGGTCTCTGTTCCAGCGAACATGAGGTCGAGGGTGCAGGCGATGAGATGTTCCTCCCGGAAGGTGTCACTGCCCTTGTCCTTCACAAAAAGGTGTGTTAGTGCTGCAGGAACAGTGAGGGCTGTCCTGACACCACGCTTAGTCCAAACCACGCAACAATTTGGGCAGGAGCTGCTGACCCCCTGCCATCCCATCCCACTGACAGGCACCCAGAGACTGATGTGCATCCTAAGTTCCTAAATGGCCACACAGGCAGCTCAGCTGGAGACTTTGGGCTCGTTTCTCATCCCTCCTCATTTCTAAGCCCTGCTGCAGAAGGCTTTGCTCTGCATTGCTGACCTTGGCTATCTCCTGCAAGTAGCTGTCGATGTAGTCCCGGCTCTCTGAGGGGTTCCAGTCCTCCTTGTGTTTGTTGATCTGCTCTTGCATGTAGCTTTTCAACCACTTCCAGTTTTTGAAAATGGTTTGATGTGCTCCAGGGAGGAACTTCATTATAGATGGGAAAGAGTTGTACAGCTTTGGACACAAAAGGAGAAAGACAAATTGAATAATGGACCGAAAACCCCTTCAAAAACCCAAAATTGAGGATCCTGCAATGCTGTGCTTGCTGAAGTGCTGGAGTTGGTGGAAATAGCTCAGCTCCAGAAGAGCAGGAATCCCTCATGAAGGAAAGACTTCCCCTGTATTATAGCAGGCAGGTTGGCAGTCAATGGGCAGGAAAAGTGATGTTGGGTGAGAGAAAGCAGCATGAGCAAGGTCCAGCTTGAAACTAAGGCAGAAAGAAATTACAGGCAAATCTACCCTGTGCAAAGGAATCAGCAAAGACAGGTTTGGTGATGACAACACTGAGCTCTGAGGATGACTCCAGAGAAGAAACTGTAGCTTTGGGGTGGTGGTAGGAGGGCTGTACCTGGGTTGTGATGGCTCCCTGAAGGAAAACTGTCTCATGCATCAGCTTTAGCAGTTTTCGGAAGTCCTCATCGTGGTAGTCAAACCGATTGCCGAGGGTGAGGGAGCAGATGATGTTTGAAACAGCGTTAGTGAGTGTAAACTGAGGGTCAAAAGGATTCCCTGGAGAAGAAAAAGATCAATTGTCTTCTGGTCTTGTCAGAAAAGGAGAAGAAAACACACTTGGTAAAGGTAAAATGGTCAAGAAATACAAATTAAATGAGTGGTCCCAGTGACCATCCTGTGTCACAGCTTTGCTTGGACATCTTGCTGCCCCCATGAGCTGGCCAAGCTTGTCTGGGAATCCCCAGTAGTCCAGTTCTAT